ATACTTTCTTTGTTGGTGTGTCAGGCTATCTAAAGGAAAACTTTTCCAACTGTGGTATCTCGATGCACACAAACATCCTACAGTAAAACAAGCTGTGATGAATACTGTGTGCTATTATTTTTGTTAGTCTTTTGCCTTGAAAATGCTTACAGGGCTTTCTTTCATCCTTCTTGCCAAGTTTGTCTTAATCTTTGTTTCCTTGTCTTCAGGCTGATAGAAATTTTAGTTTGGGGGTGGGGAGGAAAAATCTAGACAAATGTAAGAAACTCTTTTTACATATTCTTTGTGGTTTTTGAAAAGCAAATGGCTATTTTACTCACCATCAACTTGCACCACAAACAACCTGGTGTCCAAGTGCCCCAAATGTGCTAGTCTTGCCCCTCTGCATGGGTGGCGTGAAGGAGGGACAGGCTGTGTGCCAAGGTGGGACCCAGGGTCTTGCTGCTGACAGTGCTGCCCAGCCTGGCAAACCAGTCAGTGGTTTGCTGTAATGTCGCTCTCAAAAGTTACTACTTTTACATTAAAAAAAAGACTACTATCAAGTGTTTTCTCTGCTATATCGCAGTATCTGTTTTTCTGTGTTTGTGGCATAAACAGTAGTTGAACATCTCCTGGTCACCCCTGTTGCTTGCTTTCCGTAGGGTGCGTTGTGGCCCAGGGCAGGGGATCTCAGTGTGGGTTGAGGGGGTGAAAGCATCCCCTTCCTGGTCTGCTGGATCCCTTTGTCCTTTATGAGCAGACTCTTAGGGCATTTCTTCTCCTTTGACTTAGTCAGCAGCGCAGTCTGCCGTTTAATCAAACAAACAAGCAAACAAAACCCCAAATGACAAAACCCAACCTATTCAACTCCAAAACAACTGAAATCCTCCCAAGACTGACACAGGAAGCAACCAAGTTGCTTTTAAAGAAACCTTGGCAGCATTAAGTACCTGTCTGAGGGGTCCAAATGTGAGGAGGAAGACGCCACAGCTTGGGTTGCTCAGGGCCATGGTCATGAGATTTTTGGCCGTATGAAACAACGGAGTTTACAGCCGTTCTGGACAGCCTCTTCTGGTGCTTAGCCACTTCATTGTTTAATACACAAACTCAAACCTTACCTATTTTTTTCCCTAACTGCCTTTAGTCTTAAGCACCACATGCTTTGTCTGAAAAGTTTGTCTCTGTCTTCCCAGTAGACAGCTGCAAGCAGCAGTTAAGATCTCCACCGAGTCTCCTTTGGGCTGAAATGTGGTTAATACAAACTGTGCTGTGCAGGGGAGGACCTGCAGTATTTGGTGCCTGGCTCTTTACCAGAAGAGTATGAAAGAAACAGTATCTAAACAGGTTTGAGTTCACCCATTAATCCAGTCCACTGATTCACTGTTTGACTTCACTGATGGAACTCCGTGGTGGAGTGCAAATGCATCCAGTTCCTGCCGTTTGCTGCCTGCTGAGGCTCCTCGAAACCTCAGGGCTGGCTCTTCAGCAGAGAGTTGGGCTGGAAACCACCCAGAGCTGAGCTCTGACCAGGAACAGGTGCTCATGGTTCCATGTGCCTGTCTGAATTCCTGTCTTCCCTTCAATGAGTTCTGCGCGCAAACAAAACCAAAAGTAAAAAATATATCATTTTAAATGGTGCATTGTTAGACTGGTGTTGACTATGTCTGAAGTCTAATGCTTTTTTATTATCAGTAGTGATTTGTTTTAAAAAGGAACAAATATTCCCAGCTTTTTATGCTTCATTGCCAGTAAAAAGTTCTTTGTGTACCAGCTGTGTGATTGGCATTCTACAGGCAAGATACGGGCATAAATGCTTTCTCTGTTACAAGTGAGAATGATGCAAGTCATGCATATGGGGCAGTATTAGTTTTTGAGATTATCCTTAAGGTCTTTGAGCCGTGATGTAAACTCAACCTTGCAACAGTTACCACAACCCAAAGCTTTGACAGTAAGACTCTTCTCAAATTTTGAAGTATTTGTAGCCCATTTCTAGCTTTTTTCCCCTCTTGTGACAGCCTTGCAATAAAAAACAGTGCTGGATTATTGTCCATAGAGGTTTCTTTGCTGAAGGGGTAAAAATGTTCTTCAGCAGTCAGATAAATAATTACTCTGTTGATCCATGTTCTCCATAAACTTCAGCAGAGAGACCCTGTGGTGCAGAAGTAACAGAGATTGTGCTGATTCTTCATCTTTTCCTAGACTCCAGCATCCCTCCCTCCCTCTTGCTTCCAAACACTCCCCTTGCTTCCAAACAAGAGACAGAGCTACACTGACTTTATGCCTCTGTTAACAGCCTAGAAGTAAGTCGAGAATATGCAGCTATTTTTGTCCATTGAGCAATTCCAGGTCTCTTTTCTGTTTTTTCTGTCGGCGCAACTGTGACATTCCAGAAATAGTTGAAATCAAGTATCCAGAGAGAACGTATAAAGGATGCCCTGGCTTGCCATGTAACATCTAATGGCAGGCGGTTTAGAAAGGCATCTTCTCCAAAGCTGTCAATCAGTCTGTGTCTGCCTGGAAAGTGCTTAGGTTTTTAATTTTTTGGGACCTCAGGGGTTGACTAAATATATATACGTTGTTAATGTTGCTTTATCGACTTTCTGTAATATCGTTTTCCATTGGCATCGTTTTCCATAAAAACTTAAGATTGTTTTGGAGGAAAGCATTAATGACTTCAGGCTTCCTGCAGCTCACTTCTCCATCAAATGTGCCCGACTGTCACATTTCACTTATGTTCAAAACCTGTTATTTTGGGACTGTATGATAAGTACAGCAGTATGCCTGTACCTTTTGTAAGATCAGAGAACTTTCCCTTCTTCTAACTCATCTTTTGAACTATCAGGTGCCTGATAATTTTGGCTAGTGAAGCTGGCCATGGAATTAGCATGGCCTCCTTGGGCCCCTTCTGTTGTCATACCTATTTCATTTAATGACTGAGCCATGGGTAGCTTTAGCCACTTGATGATTGCTGCTGGCCTCTTGCCTCAGCACTGGCTACCCTGGTCCTAGCTGCATCCTGCTGCTAGACAGTTCCCTGGCAGCAGGGATCAGGTGTTCCTAAACTGCGTGGTGGTCCCTGCAAAGGTCATCCAGTTTGGTATTTCATCAGTACGTGTATGAAAACAGGGAATCTCCCTGTAGATGTGTTTAGCTAGGCTGTGGGACACGGCGGGTCAAAGGATGTTTAACTTCAAATGCCAAGTATCAGTTATGGATGCAACTGGCATACCTTGAAAAGGGAATTATGGGGGGAAAAAATGTATAAGTGGATTATATCCAGCTGTATAATGCAATCACATCCTGCTCTCTAGGGCCTCTTACTAATGCAGTAGCAATGGGGTTTTCCCTCTGCTGTTGCAATGAATTCACTAAGGACAGTTTCTGAGCTCAAGAAGCTGTTAATGTCTATCGGTGTGCTCCTCTCTACTCTCAGCTTAGTAGCAGTATAGATCTGGCTTTGTGCCACTACTGCATATGAGCTCATCTGTACAGTTTCTGGCTTCTGATTTACTGCAGGGTTTCTAGCTTGATGCTTGTTAGATCATTTTTTAACACCATGTTACTGATGTATTGTGTGAGCCTAGCTCTTCTTAGGTGTGAGGAGGGTGAGAGCAACAGGAAGCTTTGGCTTGCTTCACTGACTGGGTTGGTGAAAATGTTTCTAGCCATAACTGGTCACCTAACCAGCTTGGAGGTGACTGGCCCTAACCCATCACTTTGTGCAGAGCTGTGTTTCTGTGCAAAAGTCATGTGTAGCTGTAAAATGCCCTGGGGCTGCTAGGAGCATGTTTGTATAACGTATTGGTATTTAAATTGTCAGCGTTTAAAATTTCAGTAAGTAGACTTATCTTGCTGAGGTGTTTCTTCCCCTGCGTTCTCTTTGAGTAGATACTTCTCTCTTCTAAATAAAATATATCTTAGTCTTCCAGTTACTTTTGAATCTTGTTGCCGCTATGTTTTCCTCCTCATAGAGAGAGAGAGGGCCAGAGGCGAGCCGCTCACTAGTGTCACAGCTACTATCTGCTATACCTGCTCTTGCATTAAAACTGGTTTTCCACTCTGAACTTGAAGAGAATGAGGTGTATTTATTTGGTTACTTATTACACTACACCATAAAGATAATTCTGCTTGGGGCTTTGAGTGGTAGGATTTCTTTCATTTGTTGTACCTCATTTGTTCTCTGGTTATTAACTGTCAACTTAATTTAGTACCTGGAGAAACAGATCTATGGATGCAGAGTAAGGGTCAAAGGGAGCAAAACCAGCATTGACTCTGACTTGTCAACAAAAGGATCAAATATCCATCTTCATCTTGAAGTTGTCTGGAACAAGGATTAAATTGCAGATCATCCTAAGGCAACAGGGGAGCCTTTAGTACGTGGGTATCAATTTATTTACTTACTAGACCAAAACCACTTTGTTCTACATTCTCTCTGCAGAACTGGAGTCTTGTTCTTTTCTTAGTGTACTGTAAAAGGAACAGTGCTCAGTTAAAACCTTGTGCTTCTCCAGCCTCCTGGCATGGCCCTTCCATTAGGTTACAAACTGGTTTTTGGTCATTGTTTGATGCATCCCTTAGAGTGCTTTCTAGCTGGATTTTTACCTAGGCTGGCTGAGTCATTCTTATATTCCTGAATCTCAGGTCTCTTATGTTTGCTCATGTTAAACTCTATTTTTGGTTATATGAAACATGGAAAAGGCTTGCCAGAGACATGTAGCTGGATTCTTTGTGCATACTATCCAAATTTTAGTTGCAAAGTTTGCAGAGCATGCCGGAGACCGCACAACATGTGTTTGCTTGCTTCGAATTGCCAGCTGAAAATGCTGCATCCTTGCTGCAGCCATAAAGTACAATGCCAACCATCACTGTTTCCGTTCGGTTATGGTCACATCTTCTCAGCAGTCTTTATTTGCTGGCGATGGTGTATCTACTCACTTCCGCCCTTAGGCGGGTATTTGATGTGTCCTAGTGTTTAGAGACTCATGCAAATTGGGGTTTACACATTGGAGGTGTGAGTGAGGATGAGGAAAACAAAACATGAAACTGAGTATGTTGTCTGTCAGTTCAGGCAGATACCAGACCTCATGGATTCATTGGTAGCTTTGATGCACTCAGGGCCTCTTCTTCCACAGGCAATTGGTAGTAACGATGCGCTGCCAAATGATGCGTGTTATGCTCGTAAGGCCCGTGCGTTACCCCTTGGATGTAATTTGAAACTAGGAAGTTAGGAAGAGAAGCAAATCGGCCTCATGGATTTTTAACTCTCTTCCAGGACTCATAGTTGGGGTGATCTTGCGATATGGGACTCCCTCTACGAGTGGCCATGACAAGCCATTCAGCTGCTCGCAGGAGGACAGGCCGTTTACAACTCTGCTGGTCAACGTCAGCGGGAAGTTCTTTGAGTATACACTTAAAGGGGAAATAAGCCCTGGCAAGATCCACAACGTGGAGCAAAATGACATGTTGCGAAAGGTGAGGGTAGACCATTTCTTGTACTTCGCTGAGTGTTTCTCCTTTGTCTGTGCTTCCCACCCTCCTCCCCACACTATCCTGTTTGAATGTTGGCTGGTATCAGGTGTCTGTATTCCTGACCGTAACAGCACTTCAATGCTTAATGCAAAAGCACCCTCTGTATTATGTGGCTGCTGGCCAAACTGTGTTCCATCGCATGTATGTAGTGCTTTCCCAAAGCACTATTGCTGTTGGGATGCTTAAGAACATGAAGACATTTTTCCAATGTCTGTGGAATTCACAAAGACCAGCTGAACCAAAAAAGCCTGATGCTGCTTTGTATAATAATACATAATACAATATGGCGATTGTTTCTTAATTGGGTATTTTTTGTGTAGTTTCCTTTCCTCCCTTTCCTCCCCTTATGGGTTTCAAATCTGTTTATTGTCAGGAAATAGTTACTGTTTACATCCCTATAATCTGCCAGTCTGGTACTGGAAAAGAAATTAATCTATTAACTTGTTACTCAGATCTGCTATTTGGCTTCTTATCATATTCACTGTCAGGAATTAAACACATTTTGTGTGTATCAAAGCTAGACTTTGAAGTATAGGATTGAGACTTTAGGCTTCTAACCTAAAAATACTTTTTTATGCTGACTATAGAGAGAGCTTAAGTGGCTGTTTATACATACCAGTCTGCTACAGATACCTAAAGTTAGGTGAAATTAATCCTATTTTGGGAGCGCACACTTGTGTTTGTCTTCTAACCTGTGCTTAGATAGGGGTGAAGATAGGTTAGTTAGTCTCACATGTGTGCATGTCTTCTGTTTGGATTTTAAATAGGTGTTTTTTTGTTCCTTATTCTAGTGTAGTCTTTCATGGATATCTGAAACTTCCACTGAAATATGTGGAAGTGATTGAAGATCCCAGTTCCTAAAAACCAGTCTTGTATCTGACCTGACTGGCTTAGAACAGCTGTGAAGGGACTAGACTTGAGAGGAAGAAAATAAAGGAGCTTAAATAGTATCTCATCTGCAAACATATGAATATAATTTACTACAATAAGAGATTTTCTCCAGTATCTCTTTCCTTAATTTTTTTTTTCTAATTTAATCAGGGGATTGTGTTTTGGACTGCTGCAAGACTAATATTGGTGATGGGTGTAATGTCTATTTTCTGGATGCTGTTTACCATAAAGAGCTGCTGCTTTTTGCTGCTGCATATGTATAGAGCTGGCCAGTATTATGGAGGGTCAACTTAGCCTGTTGTTTACTATTTCAACAACCAAAAATAATAGTTGTTAGACAATGAAAGAAGAAAAAAACATAACAGCTTGTATATGTCTGTTTCTAATTGAATTCTCATATTTTATTTTTTAGGTAACATTTGACCCAGAAGTTTTTTTCAACATCCTCTTGCCTCCTATTATTTTCCATGCAGGTTATAGCCTGAAGAAAGTAAGTGTGTGAAGTTTATGCAGAGAACAGCCTTTTTTTTTTTTTTCTCCCCAGTGTGGAACTACTGACTTGTTCAGGAGTGCAATCTCCATTTCAAGCTTTTTTTTTTGTGGCAGTAAAAAAAACACATGTCCTCCATAGAAGTTTAGGTCATGTTGTTTTAAGAGAAAATACATGTAGTTTTTATTATAAACACATTAAACTCTAATCTTGCTGATTTGTTTTCCTTTGAATATTTCTAGAAGCTAATGTCAATCTCATTTAAAGTAAAAGATGTCCTGCTATGAATTGTTTTGGTCCTTCTCAGATACCCAAAATGCAGTGAATAATGCTGAGAAGTGGACCCAAACCTGAATGCCAATGGGGTTGGGCCAGACACTGAGTGGCAGAAGGGCCCAGATTCTGCTGTCGCTTGAAGGTACCATGAATTGGTGCTGGTTTTTAGTTTTGCAGCCAACTTTTGTCTCTTATGAAAACATCTGTGTGGAAAGCTTCATGTCAATAAGCTCCATGTAGAATTTAATACATGGTTCAGGTTTGGCTTACTCAATTTATGGAGGTTGGACATGAGTTACATTGAAGTAATGGAAGCATTTCTCTGAAATGAAGGGGTGCTTCTGTGTATTAAAGAAAGTGTAGTAACACCATATGTTTATTGAACATGTGATATTACTTGTTTTAAATAAGCTAAACTTTTTTTCCTATGCAGAGACACTTTTTCAGGAATTTGGGGTCCATTTTGGCTTATGCCTTTTTAGGAACAGCAGTCTCTTGTTTTATTATTGGGTAAGTGAACTCTGATACCAGTTCTTTTCTCTACTAAAGTTTAAGCTGATAACGTGTATGTTGAGCCTTCCAGGCTGCCTCAGTTTTGTTATCTGAGGATTTTATTTGTGTATCCTCTAGACAGAACGCAGAAGTTGTATGTGCTGAGATTTATTCCGCTTCTAAGCAATTCTGCCCCTTGAAATGATAACGTCAAGTTTGAATCACTTGACGGGTCCGCAGTACTGAAGAGCAACGTTGAGTTTTTGATGTAATGGTCCAGTCCAAACCTGCTTGGCTCTTACTGGAATGGACTTTAACTTCAGTTGTGGAAACTACTTGTAATAGAATTTTAGCTATCAAGCTATTAGAGGTGTCCCTTCCAGTGCCCACACATGTGCATGCTCTCCTCTCTACACATATGTGTATGTATATATGTAATTTTATGTGTATACGTATGCACATTTAGTTTAAGCCAGCTAGTCCTGTTGGTTTACTTGCATACAGTCTCTTAATGCCGCTAACATTGCTGTGTCTGGTGTATGGATACTCTGAAATACAGAAATCCCAAATTGCATAGGTGACCTTGGTTTGTCTCTCAAAGAATTTCACTAGATAAACACTTTGAAGCCTATTCTTAGCTTGGTGCTTTTGGCCTATGTACTGTCTTGGGGGAAGCAATACTGAGGGGAATTTTGAGCAGGAAAATGTTCCCTTTGGTGGAAAAAGGAAACAACATGTAGATTCTGTGTACTAGTTTTGTGAACAGGTTTCACGCTTTGCTTACTGGTTTTAAATGTTCTGGTCTTGTATATCACTTGACTCCACTCACAGAGGAACGAGGAAAATGAGTTTTGAGAGCTTAGTGTTAAACTATGGCAGCATCCCACAGAGCTGTAGCATAACTAAGCCCATATGAAATATTGTTGCTTGTGCTTTTCCTTTGCCTGACTGAAATGCACCAACTTGTTTGACTTGGACTGTGTTATCCTCTTTCTCTTCAGGAATCTCATGTATGGGGTTGTGAAACTAATGAAGTTGGTGGGTCAGCTCTCTGATAAATTCTATTACACAGACTGCCTCCTCTTTGGAGCGATAATATCTGCCACTGATCCAGGTAGCTTGCTGAACACTTTTTAATAACCTTCCCAAATACCTTATTGCTAGGATTGTTGGCTGCATAGCATGATGATATTAACAGCACTTGGTTTTCAGTCCTGTTATGCTGGTATGTCTGATCCTCTTCTCTGAAATGCATGCAAATTCTGAGTGTGTAAAAGTTGTTCTCTGCTGATTTGGTGCTGGACTGGTGTGACATGATGGTATGTTTGGGGGGAAAATGCAACTTTCCTGTTCAAACACCTAAAATATGTTTTCCCAGTAGGTTTTTTGTTTAGTGTGCATCAAGTGTAAGTCTCCAAATAACAAAATTACTATATTGTCTGAATAGCAGGACTTCCTTCTTCAGCTACATTGCTTGGGATGTTGGATAATTTAAAAGCCATATTTGAGGCTTTTAGGCTCTTTAGGTGTGGGGAATTTTTGTTTTCTCCTTCAAATTAACTTCACGTTTTACAAGTTTAAGCAGAAGAATGCTCTTCTGGCAGAGTAATTTGAGCTTTTGCCAAAATTATGTAGTCAGCCTTCAAAGTCCAGCAGGCTCGCATACGTGTGTCTGCTTGGCAGGTCAGTTTGGAGAGCTGGTGTGTGTCAGGGGCCAGTGTAGGGAGCAGTGAAGTATGAAGCTTGACATTTAAAAGAGCTTATTTGAGGTGGTGATTTCTGTGAAAATGGGAAGTAGCTCCTGTGATTGAGCTGAGCTCTGAACAGCTGCTGGTTGCACACAATTTAGGGAAAAAAAAAAAACCCAAAACCACCATGTAGTTTCATTTGTTTTGAAGCTTCTATATGGGAACTTGAAGATCATGGTCCTTCATCTCAGGCTGAAGTTTCTTGAAAGGATAGTTATAAGTATTTAACTGTCCTGCCCTTTTCAAATTCTGCGCAAACGCACACTCCTGTGGCATAGCGTACGCTTTGGGGAACACCTAGGGTTATTAGTACTATTTTAAAATGGCTGAAATGCTGATGCTATGCCAACAATCCATACGGCCTTTAAAAGCAGCAAGAGCTGCACAACGTTCTGTTGTCTTATATGGAACATGTTCTACGAGAAATATCAGGGCTTTGCTAAAAGTGCTCTGTCTGCCCCATGCTCCTTGGTTATGGGGGTTTTCCTGTAGACACTGTACAGATGGGAGGCCAACAGAGCCACCTCCTGATGGAGCTGCCCTAAAACCGATGGTGGAGTTGCCTACCTATGGATAAACGTGACTAGCCTCTTTCCTGGTTCAATTTTGATCCTGTACTTCAGTTCCTGGTGTTTGTTGCTTTAGGAAAAACTGGAAAGTCTGCTCCATCAGCTCACGCAGTCGCTCCTGAAGTCAGTCCATGTGGTTTTTCTCTTTTCTTTCTGTAGTTACCGTGCTAGCAATATTTAACGAGCTGCATGCTGATGTCGATCTCTATGCCCTTCTGTTCGGGGAGAGCGTGTTGAATGATGCTGTTGCCATTGTGTTATCTTCGTAAGTAACTACCTGAATTTCTACTCTGAAGTTTCTTAATTGCTTTTGGTATTTGTCTAAAATAAATGCTTTTTCTGAGAAATGTTATTTTGAATTTAAATGGGTTGTCTTGAACTGAATTAGTGAACAATGCAAACACTTGCCAAGATCCCTCATGCATACATACACCAGGAAGGCAAATTTGCCTTCAGTACCGGGTTGTCCCTTCTGTTGCTCAGGTGTTTTTGTTATGGAATAAAACTTTTCTGATGCCAATTCAGACTTCTCATGGTGTTACTTCCTTTCCAGATCTATAGTGGCCTACCAGCCAACAGGTGAAAATACCCATGCTTTTGATGCAGCAGCATTTTTCAAGTCTGTTGGAGTTTTCCTGGGAATATTCAGTGGTTCCTTCATGATGGGAGCAGTGACGGGGGTTGTGACAGCTCTGATATCCTTTTTCACGTTTAGCTCTTTCAGACTAGATGCTACATTCAGGTATGAACAGGGCTCACCTGGTTCCAACTTTGGCAGTGTTGACACTAGCTTGTTTTGATCGGAGTGTGAAGATGCGATCAGCATTCACGTAACCTTTGCCTATAGAAAGGCACATAGGTACGCACAGAAATCACCTTTTTCCAAGGTAACCGTGGCCACACTAGCAATTTTAGTGATGTTGCTGCATGCCGCAAGCCAAGGGGAGGCCCTAAATAAAAGGGCCTCACGTTCAGTTTCTTTTTAGGAAATTTTAAAAATAATTGGGTTTATCAGGCGTGAAAGACACAGGAGAACTGGTGTTTGCTTCTGTTGTCAGGAAAATTGTTGTTAGCTATTTCTGACCACACGGAGTTCTTTCTGAGAGTCCTGCATTTAACCTTTCTGCTGCGCATCTGACATCATCGGTCTTGGATAAGACTATTTCTACCAGAGTTAACATCATAACATGATGTGCTCTGCATGACCTGCCCTGCTCTCTTGAAGCTTACTGCCACTCCTTGATTAGAGCATGAGGCGCTCAGCAAATGATCTGCGTGGGTTTTGTTTTAGACACAGATAGTAGACCTTATTAAGCCTGACCTGCTCCAGAAGTTGTGATGCTGCTTCAGGGGAAAAAAATATTCAGATTCTTTGCTTTTAGACTAGCTAGTAGATTTGTACACGTCCCAGCTTGCTTTGATCTGTCTAGGTTTCTGAAAACTGATCTAAATGGGATAGGATGTGATATTTTATACAATAATCATAAACCTGTTATTCTTCATCTTAAGTAATAATATCTCAACCGTGTCTTGTTATATACACACCACAGAGATTTGTGTAATACATGTCTGCATAATGGTAACCCTTCAGGTGTAAGGGCAAAATGTGCTGTGGCGCTGTAATGCTCAGTCTTCCAGTTCTGCTCTTCTGCAGTCAGTGTGGCCCAGAACCATGATTTTTCATCTGGCTTTTAGGCTACCAGCCATCCGTAGGTTTAGCTGTTCAAATACTATTGCTGTGGTTTTTGGCTTGCTGGCTGGCTACTAATTACAGCTGAAATGCATGCTGGTCCATTTTGTAAAATCATGTTTCTGAAGCAGCAGTTGGTTCTTGCCGTTTCCAATGTAAGTGCTCAGGAGGGTGCATGAGGCTGGGAGCGGGGAAGCAGTCCAGAAGACTGCCTCTGTTGGTTGTACTTCTTGGTTTGGTTTGTCATTTTTTTAAGAAAACAACAAAACAAAGTCCTTACATTGTTGCTTACTTACACAACTTTACCTCTTTTCTTTTGGAAAAATACTTAGTGTCATGCAATATTGTAGAAGCAAGGTGTAAATTTTGCATTTTACTCTTTGTAGCTGATGAGAACCTATAACTCAGGTCATGAATGAAGTGAATAGACTGTTATTCCTGTAGCTGTGCAGTACCTATCCCTGTACCTTTCTATGAGTGAGAGTTTTCATGCAGTCATTGTGTTGTATCACTTTCTATTTTCTTTCTCAATTGCAAAATCTGCTTGGTTAAAATGACTTGAAGCAGAAGACCGTGCCTAAGGAACAAAGTCAGTTGTCTTTGCTTTAATCTTTAAGTTAAGAAAACAGAACTAATAATTGACCAAATAGAAGTGTTAATTTAAATTACACTATTATATGAAACAAGATGATTTTTTTCCTAACCTTTCTCTCATCCTCCCCTTCTTCCAGAATGATGAGCACAAGTTTTCATTTCAGATTTAATGAAATGTTTTGGTATGGCAACTTATGGTAGCAGCAAGGGGAATGAAGAGTTTGATTCATAAAGCCAACAGATAAGACCAGAAAGGAGGAATCTGTTCTGACAAGGGCTCTCACCTAACTTCCAGGGGAAAAAGGTTCAACCTCTTCCCTTCCTGTGGAATGACTGTGGCTATCCAGTTTCCTGAGCATCCATGCATGTTTCTTGAGCCAGGCACTGGGATAAACTTGCGGTGGAATTATCAGAGTGCTCTGTGGGAAGATGGGTTCTAGTTGTTGCTCTGGTGGATGTTACTGCTTCGGAAGCACGGTGTTACAAAATGGGTCTGTTTGGGAGAGAGAAAAAAACACTTTAGCTCAGTGTAACAGGACTTCCTCAAAAGTTTGAGAGAGATGGTTTGTATGGAGAAGTGACTGTGGAGAATAACAGCTGTTTTAAAAAAATGCTGAGTTTTATATTTGGTGCAAATGTCAACTGTCATATGTAATTTATGGTGGTTTGTGTTTCTGTTTAGAGGGCAGCCTTCTGACAAAGTAGGGTAACAGCTGAAGGTGTGGCTGGAGCATGTGTTTCGGAGCCCTTGCTGCCCTCCAAGTTTGCATTCCCTGCTAATGAGTAGGTGTGGAGCAGGTAGCTGGCCTCAGGACTGCTTCATCCTAACCAGGCTCCCATTAGGCAAACTCTGCCAGCTCTTTTCCTCTGGTGGTAATCACTTGTGGCCTGTTATGAATGCTGTATTCTGGTATCAAGCCCACTTGGTTTCCACTGAGTCTTCCGGGCTACCTGACTGCTGCTTGCAGGAGGCACTCGAGTGCTGTGAGCCCCAGACCTTGAAGGACCTGTGAAATCCCTCGTTAAGAGCGATGCTTCTCATTGCTTTAACATCCCTGAGCTGTGACCCCGCAAGCAGCAGTTCTGCCCTTAGGTTGTATAGTGCTGCAGAGAGCCCAAGGTGAGGCTGTGTTATGCTTGGAGAGCAGCGGTGGATGCTGGTGCAGCCTTGATGTGTCCACTGAGGTACCAGTTGCCTTCATTTGAGCAGGGGAGAGTGTTACTGCTTCAAGTATCCCTGCTGTGCCCTTACTGTCCCCATGCTTGGATTTTGGAGAAGATTGCACAATCTGTCAGCTTGCAGGAAGAGCAGGGATCTCTCTACCACGCCGATTAGCGCATGGTTTCATTCCCTGTCTTCTAGCCGAGCCGTGCATAGCTGTCTGCACCTCAGGTCCAGTGAGCTGTTCTGTGTTTACCTGCTGCCTCAGGAAACAACCCCAGAATAAATATGTGAACAACTTTTTTTGTAGTATGTCAAGAGCTGTATTGAGCCCTACTGAAATCTGTTCCACTTCTTCAGTAGCTGTATGCACTTAATTCAGTGTTTGACATTCCTCTTGTTTTGTTCTCCCTGGGAGGATGAGCTTTTTCTATCTTCCCATGGTAAGACTGAGCTGCTCTGAGTTCGCTTTTACTCTAAAAACCATCAACACAAGGAGAGGAAATGTATTTTGTTGTAGGCAGGCTTTCTACACAAGTAGCTGTGTTGCTGAAAAAGACGTCAACAAATCTGAGCAGAAAAATTCTGATAAATCTACTTCATCTTCGGGTTGTTGCGGTCAAGAACAGCCCTGTGAGTTAAATGCTTCTGAGTGTATTTTGCGCTTTATTTAAAGATGGGGAGAGATCTTTGCTGGGGGGGAGGGTGACCAGACACAAACAAACAACAATAAAACCCCCCAAAAACCCCAAACTCCTTAAGAGACACAATCTAAAAGGAACACAAGGTATATATCCCTCCCCTGCTGGCACTTTGCAGGGAAACGTGACATAAGTAAGATACTGCCTCAAAGAGGTGGAGCCACGGTTCTGAAATGGATATGCAGCGAATATATCCAAAACTGACTGTTGCAAGGGGATACCTTGATTCTGAACTTTGTCTTGATGTGATGGAATTGATGTTTTTCAGCACGAAGTGTTTTGTTTTAATGCGCTAACAAGCAACGGTAGTTGGAAGGTGTTTTTCATAAACACTGGGTACTGAGAAGCCAAAGAAGTTACATTTTGATCCCTTAACAAATGACATAACGTGACAAAGTTTACAAAGTTGCACTGCTTCCCCCTGCTGGAAACGGCTCTCTTCTTCTTGATGTCCTGGAGCACTTTCTTGCTTGCAGAAGCTTGTGGATTTACTGGTGAGTTGATGGGATTCATGTATATGGAGGCTGAAGTCCTGTCTGTTTTAGCAACCCTTTTTCTGCTTGCTCATTGAAACCTTCTGATCAGAAACACAATATTGGTGCCTTAAGATTTTCTATGCTCCCTGCAGTGCTATTGAAGGTGCAGCCCACTGTGTGGCTTTTGAAAGGACTGGTTTGGTTCACACACCTAACTCCCCCCTGATTCCAACCTGGAATCTAACTCGGTTGAAAACAAGGTTCATAAAATCTCAAGGCTGAGGATGATGTGCATATGTAATAGAACTTGAGAAGGCTAAATGTATTGAGCTCACAGAATGAACAGGCTGATTTCACATGTGTTTCTGTTCACAGGTGTGGTAGCCGTCCTCTTCTGTGGCATTACCCAGGCGCATTACACATACAATAATTTGTCAGTGGAATCAAGAAGTCGCACTAAGCAGGCAAGACTGTCTTTTACCTTTTCTATATGGTGTTGCTAGGGTGTTCCGTGCACTGTTGATTTTTGAAAAGCAGTTTTATTGCTTGGCCTTTAACATCTGACTCTCTTTTTTTTTTTCTCCTTAGCTCTTTGAGGTATTGCACTTCCTGGCAGAGAACTTCATATTTTCTTATATGGGTTTGGCACTGTTTACTTTCCAGAAACACATATTCAGCCCAATTTTCATCATTGGAGCTTTTGTATCCTTTTTGCTTTGTGCGAGGTTTCTCTGTCTTATGTGCCTAAAAACTTGTGGTGTCTGTTTGCTTTACCAAATAGAGGGTGGCAGCTGACCTGAGTCTCCCTCACGTCTTGCAGGCACAAGAACTTTGAGAACAATCTTTTGGTTACCCCTTACCTCAAATCCCTAAGGCCTCTGTGCCACAGAGTTGTTGGCTCTGCACCTCAGCAAGTGCTAGAAGTCATAATTTCAACAGATAAATGAATGAATATTCTATACTCTGTGACTTGGCCATTGACAGACAGCGGTGCTTGTGTTGCTCTTGAACTTTGGGGCCCTTGAAAGGATTCATTTTTCTCTTCGCTTCTAATGGTCCCTTGAAGAAAGCAAGTGAACTTGAAGTAAATTAAAAGGATCATGGGCAAACAGACTATCTCAGAGCAATGCCCCAAAGAGGGCAAGAGGTCAAAAGGTCACAGATGATGTGAGGAGGAAGAAACTGCGCTGTGGTGCAGACCTTGATACGAAGAGTACACACTGCTGAAGGGCGCTGGTGTTGGAGGTAGGAATCCAGTTCACATTGTCCCTGGTTGACTCGGTACCTGGCTCTCAAATTCCCCAGAACTGAATACTTGCGTAGTAATCAGTCCTGTAAGCTGGGAATGACTGGATTCCCTTCTGCCCCCCGCCCCTGTTGAAATAGCTTGTGTGCCTATTTCTTCACTATTTTCCTGTCTGCTTGAAAATTCAGAGTAATTAGAAGTGTGAGTGAAGCAATGGGAACTAGTCTTCCACTGCAGATTTCTCCCTGCCTGCTGCAGGAGTGGGGCTATCAGCAATGAGATAAAACCCAGTGAAAAGACATATAAAGATCACCTAATCTAGAATGTATTTATTTTCTCTTTTCCTTTCCACTGTTTTCTTTCATCCCTGTACTGCCTCTAGGAATTTATCACATTTGTCTTTATTTTTCTTTGGCCACTTACTCTTTTTCTGCAACAGTAATAAATTTTCTCCTGTGTCTCCTCATGTCCGTTCTTCTGACCTAAAAGGTGCTCCAGAGCCCTGCAGCAATTGGATAAAGACATGAACTGCATCTGGTATACTAAGCAATGTAATTTTTCATCTTGGCTGTGGCATTCTGTCCTCTCTCAGGTTATGCTATCTGTCTTGGGTTTGTTTTCAGTATTTATTTTGTTCCTTTCTCTTCCTATCCTCCTACCTTTTTATACACTTTTCGCATCTCTTTCTACCACTGCACTTAATCTCTCTGCCTCTGAAGTCTTTTCCTGCCTTTGTGAGGAGGGCAGCCTGTACTAGCACCCACCTTATGCTTCAACAGCTGCTGTCCCCATGGAGTTAACACCTTGCAGGTGTGAAATGTGGGGGCATCATTAGCTCTTGAAAGAGAAAGGTTGGACTGCAAAGGCAGAGCTAAAGCCTTGGTGTCACTGACAAAATCCTAGCTGTTATTCCCATCTATGTTGATCATGAAGACTTTTGATGTCTTTTCCTCAGAAATACTGCTATGGAAATTGTTTGGAATCATTATATGAAGATTTTTATATAAAGTAATAGCCAAAATCTTATTTTTCTGGAGATGTAATTTCCTGCAGACAGTATTGCTTTACTCTTGTTATGGCAACGACCTGGTGGTGTCTAGAGCTCTTACACTGTTTTATTTCTTTTCCGTAAGAGAGCTGTTTCATTCTTCTAATGTTGCTATCTCAGCAGCAAATGATCAGTGTTTGGTGGGCTTCTAGTTGTGTTGGTGTATTACAGGATTTCAGCACGTCCCTCTAGTTTGTCCCAAAGTGTTCCTTGGATTGTGGAGGCTGCATTCAGCTTTTGCTTCTCACTGGAAACACTGGATGGTTTACACCACAGAAAGGGAGGGAAGGAGCTTACCACCTACCGCAATGAATTTCTGCAATACGCTTACTACTCTTTTTTGCACTTCATTCTAGTGCTGACAAAGTGGGTTTCGGATTTATCATTTTTGTAACTCTTTATTCAAGTGCTTGCCAGCCAGTAGGAGATTTTGCCTCTGCAGGAGCTGTAATGGAGTAGCCACCTGCTGGTCCTAGACTGGTTTTTCTTCTGTACAAAGGATTGCATTTTGGTTGGTCTGAAACACATAATCGAATGGTGGTGGCACTAGGTTTTTTAAGTGTGAACTTTTTAAGTAAAGTCTTCATTTGTACAACTTGTAATTTTACTAGTAGGTATAGTTTCACTGTGGATTAAAAAACTTGGTTACATTAGTTAAAACTTGCATTACGTGCAGTTAGTTCTGTAAGCACATAATTGGTGAAAGTCTGTTCTATATAGACAGTTATAACAAGAACATTTACATCATAATATAAAGCTGTCACTAAAGCAGAAGCCTCATGTTAGAGCCAGGCACCCAAGAGTGCATACCTCCAGGCAAGTTAAATCCTTAACTCTCAGCTGTGAACAGATTGCAATCTTTTTGGGCAGAGCTGCACACATCTACCCTCTCTCCTTCTTGCTGAATCTAGGCAGAAGGCATAAGATCAGCTGGAACTTTCAGCACATGATGATGTTTTCAGGTAAAAGTAAAAATGTTTGCTGACGTGAAAAAATATTATTTTTAACTCGCAAGCAATTTATAGTACCACCTTCTGCTTTTATAATCCACGCATGCTGAATGGAAGACTTGATGATTGTTGCAGCATGTCATGTATCACTCAGCCTTTACAGAAAGTGTGACATGTCTAGGAAGAGCGACATCTTGAAATGCCAGCTGCTGGTAGCAAGCAGTTGCCTCACGTTGGGAATAGAGTATTTTTGTTTGAAGTACATCTGGAGGGCATGGGGGAATTATGATGTATCCCTTCCAGAAGGCTGTTTCTAGCTGAGATGATGTATGTGTACAGAAACAGATATCTGCTGAGAAAATCAAGGTGTACTTGAGTGCCCTCTCCCATTTAGTTGAAGAAAACAAGGTATTTGCCTTAAAATCCCTTAAGATTTCTGTCGCGCAGATAACTGTTTGTTTGTCATTTAAAGAAAATCACAGAGTGTGTGTCTAAATGCGTGTATCCTCAGTAAGTGCTAGGGATGCCTCTGTAAACAAGAGGGTATGAAGAAAAGGGAGCCAGGCCATTCCCAGTGGTGCCCAGTGACAGGACCAGAGGCAACGGGCACAAACTGAAACACAGGAGTTTCCATCTGACCATCACGAAACACTTTTTACTGTGTCCAAGCACTAGCACAGGTTGCCAGACAGGTTGTGGCACCTCCCTCCTTTGAGAGATTCAAAAGCCATTTGGATGTCATCCTGTGCAACCTACTGCAGGTGACACTGCTTGGACCAGTGTCTAGTGACCAACCTCAGCCATCCTGTGATTCTGTGATTCCCCTATTAAGGAAGTCTGCAGATGGCCAAATCCTCTGGCTTGTTCTTGCTAGTGGAGTTGGCCATGGCAGGAGAATATAGTCTGCCCATAAACATGTTATTAACTGGAATATTTTTCCAGCTGATAACAATTTCATATCAAGGACTCATGCTTCAGTTATGAAATCAATGGGAAAAGTGTATTTTTTTTTGGATTCAGGGAGCTGCTTGATTTCCATAATATCATAGAATCTTCTAGGTTGGAAAAGACCTTTGAGATCATAAAGTCCAACTGTTAACCCAGCACTGCCAAGTCCACCACTAAACCATGTCCCTAAGCACCTCATCCACTTGTCTCTTAAATCCCTCCAGGGATGGTGACTCTACCACCTCCCTGGGCAGCCTGTTCCAGTGCCTGACAACCCCTTCAGTGAAGAAATTCTCCCTAATATCCAATCTAAACCTCCCTGGCACAACTTGAGGCCATTTCCTCTTGTCCTGGCACTTGTCACCTGGGAGAAGAGACCAACCCCCACCTCTCTGCACCCTCCTTTCAGGCAGCTCCTCACAGGACTTGTGCTCCAGACCCTTCCCCAGCTCCGTTCCCTTCTCTGGACACGCTCCAGCACCTCAGTGTCTGTCTTGTAGTGAGGGGCCCAAAACTGAACACAGGATGCAAGGTGCAGCCTCACTAGTGCCCAGTACAGAGGGACAGTCACTGCCCTAGTCCTGCTGGCCACACTGTTCCCGAGGCAGGCCAGGTTATGTTTTGCTGTTCTTCACAACTTGTTTGTTTCTGCATTTCTTCCCTGTTAGTTTCTGGAAATATTTACACCTTTTCTTACCACTTGTGGGTTCTGTAAGTTACAGAAAACTACTAGGGCAAATTACATTCTGAATCATCCCAGAGTATAATTTATCAGGGAAACTGAGGGAATTAGAAATTGCTGGAGCCCAGTGCTTTCTGCCTGACCCTTTGTGCCTGTGTGGCAGGGAGGGAGCGAGGAAAGATGCTGTGTTATAAATAGGGGCTGCACTTCTGAAGCTCTGTTATTTCATTTGTTCACACAGGTCTCAGGGGAGCCATGGCATTCGCTTTGGCTATACGGGATACTGCTACCTACTCTCATCAAATGATGTTCTCAACAACTCTACTCATCGTCTTTTTCACTGTGTGGATTGTCGGTGGAGGTACAACTCCCATGCTGTCGTGGCTGAACATCAGGTCAGTATGCAGCTGTATGCTGGGGAAGCTTCAGTCTTCAAGGGGCAACGGTGATAATTTGGCATAGTCCTACAGAACTTGTTTGAAGCTTGCTAGAGGTGTTATAGGTATTTAGAACATAATGCTTTATAAAGGAAGGTGCTAGTGTGCAGGCTGGTGAAGACAGTGTTCTGAAGCTGCTGGGATTCAGCCTCAAGCTCTCTGATGTTTTTCAAGTAGCTATCTAGGTCCTTGTCAGCCCTGTAGGATACAGAATAGTGTTGCCTGATACAGCAGCCCTTATATTGAAAAGAGAATTAATCTATCTAGTCCCATGTAGCCTTTTCTTCCTGTTATACTTAGACATTTCCCTGTCTTTTGGCTCTTGGTAATGACCCTGTTATAGTGTTTAAGTTACAAAGAGTCCTTAATGAAGTGGGGCTAAACTGAACTTTAAACATCTATCCAAATAAATCTTGTTATCTAAACAACCAAGGTAAATGGGATCCTGCTGGTCTTGTGGGCGTTTTCTCTTTTTTTTTTTTTTTTTTTTTTTAGGAGAGCTGTGAAAATGGCATGCTTATAGGTGTTTGTCATAGGATCACAGACTGGTTTAGGTTGGAAAGGACCCTAATGACCATCTAGTTCCAACCCCCCTGGGCAGGGACACCTTCCACTAGACCAGGTTGCTCAAAGCCTCGTCCAGCCTGGCCTTGAACACTCCTGGCCAATACTTAGTACTTTCGGACTGCAAATACATTCATGTTTGAGGATACTTGTCAACAGAAGTGCTAGAAAATAATGAATCAATCGTTGTTCAAGACCACATACGTTATCGTTCTGTGAAAGCTTTGGTGTTTGCGGGGGCAAAGGTAAATAGAGTGGAATTAATACATGCTGTACAAACCCTTCAGTGTGTTTTTTCATATGTAAATTATTTATATTCTTTGGCACTTGAAAGCTAGCTTTGTCTTGCTTTCTAATTGTGCTAAGCAGAATCTGTATCCCATTGTATAGTGATAGGACAGGAAAAACACAACCTTTGGTAAAACCAGTTTCAGTCTTTGGAAGAAATGATCATTCTTGGAGACTGGTGCTGCTTTTGGTAAACTTAAGGGAACTGCTTGTGGTAATAGGTAGCAGGTGCTTTCTAGGTTGGCAAAAAAAACCCCAAAATTCCTGGAAAGACTCCTGGAAACACTTACAAGCATTTCTCATTGGAGGCAGCATGCTTCTAGCTAGAGACAGGCATTTCAGCAGTCATTTACAGTATATCAGCTCTCAAAAATTGGGAAATCATGGTGTGTGTTTTTTCTTTTTTTGTGCTAAATGAATCCATTTGTCCTTTAAAACTGTCTTTAAATGCAAGTTCCTGTTGCTTAGCTAGCACACCAGAAAGAAGCATCACTTCTGTGTAGCCAGGCTCTCCAAAGGTCATGTCACTAGCAACAGGTAATGCAACACCTGCTGTTGTCAATAACAAAACCAATTCCAGTGCAGTTGTCATTAATGACTGTGAGAGGCCGCATCCTACCAAATATTTCTAAGTCCAGCCAAACTGGCTTCTGTTCCCACGTAAGAGCTGTGTAATGACTTCAAAAAGGTACCTGGAATAGATGCTTTGTGTAGCTTTCCATTTGGCACCTCTGACAACAGGAGAAGGTTTCTGCCCGTTGTTGGCATGTAAGGAACAGCTGTACTAACACATCTCAGCAAGCAGGGCAGGCATGGTGTCTGCGTAACCCAAAGCGTGCACAGGCTGCCCAACGCACAGGGTACAAGGGAGCAGGCAGGAGTTGTGGCCGGCTGTACGTGGATAAGAACGCTGCTTGCAGTGTCTGAGGGAAGTCTGCCAGGACTTGCCTGTAGCCTCTGAGATGGCCGGTGTGAGGATATCCCTGGTCTGATCTCTACTTGCTTGGATTCCAAAGGATCTTCCGAAGCCTGGCTGCAACCAGGTCAACAAAACTGACTGGAATGGCTCTCATGGTAGGTGCTGGCATCCTGATCCTTCTGCCCTGCTGCCTGCACCTCTTGTTGAGGGAGCATAGCTGGCTGTTTCCTGCAAACCTTGTTGTTCAGCAAGGGACAGGATGTGCTGCTGACCAACTGAGTGAAAAGGAATTGTGTTCAGTCTGCCTGTATCAGAAGGCAGCTTCTGAGTGCAGTCAACCATTACCTGTGCCACAGGGCTCCTTCAGTTGTCAGCAGTAGGACAGAACTGAATTCTAGCATGTGTCCCAGTTCCTGGCCAACTGGAAAGTATTTCTGAGGTAGCAGCTTCCCCCCTACTCCCTCCCAACTGCCTCTGGGGCCTCGGAAGCAGTTTGTGGAAGCATCTAAGAATATGCACTTGCTCCTTCAGCAGGACTAATCTGGTTTGGTAATGAGACTCCAAGTGCCTGGCTGATGAGTTGCTCCTGAAGGGAAAAGGGCTAAGACCGCATCCATTCCAGGCTTGCCCTTCGCATAGGCTGTTCTTGCAAAAGTCATTAATGTGACCAACGAGGCAGAACAACTGGAAAGGTTACGATATCATTCCCAGAGGTGTAGCTGCCAAAAGACAGTAGGCCCAAAACAGTTTTGGCTGTAGTTTTTTGGGAGATTTACCCACCCTTGCTAGTGAGCAGTAATTTTAACTGTCATCTGTTTGGCATGGTTAACTTCTCTGTCAAGGGAAGGATGTCATGTAAACAAGGGAACTCTAGATTGGAAGTATTTTAGAGAACTGCATGGGTCTGCCTACAGCTGCCTTGATAGGCACTGCTCTATTAACGATGAAGACTGCAGTTTTTAAGACCACATGAAATCAGACTTGTGCCAGGAGGTGGCAGTCCTGTGCAGTGGAAGAGGCAGGCAGGAGGAGATCAGGAGGAGATGCTGTCCCAGTGCCTGACTCAGCAGCACAGTGTGTTGTGCTGATGCTACCCTGAGGCTGTGCAGTAGGTAACTTGTCACTGGGGTGGCCTGGGATGATGCTTTCTGAGCTTTGGCACCTGCCCATTAGGTTAGACTGCAAGAGGCTGGAAATAGTAGTGTTTCCATACAGGATGATTTAGCAGAAAAGACGTTAAAAGGTAGCGGTCACTGTGTGGCAGAGTGGTATCACTGTAATCCTCTGGGTACTGGTGTCAGAGGGGTCTCTGGGTGGCCCCTGCAGTAATTCCCATGGGCAGAGCTTCTGCCCGAGGAACTGCAGGCACATGCCTGTTGTACTGAGCAAGTCAGGGGAGCTGAGACAGATGTTGCCACCACAGGGTCTTGAGGCTGTGCCGGCACGGTTTTGGTCGAACAGTCCCAGAGGGCTGACTCTAGCTGGGACTGTCGGCCTGGCTGAGCGCTCGTGGGAGGCGGTTGCGTGCCTGCAGGGGGGAATGCACACACAAGGGTCCAGAATTGCGTTGCCGTGGCTCAGAGGCAGGCACAAGCCTTTGGCCGCACCATCAACTGTGTAGCAGTTGGGGTGCAGCCTCTGTTCTTTACTTCTGGTTGTCCCTTCTCTCCCTTGATGTGAAGTGTGTTAAAAGTAGGTGAGGGATGGAGAGGCTAGTGTGAAAAACACACTTTGGTAAAGTAAAAAGCAGTATGAGGAGGAAAACGGGCAAAACTGCCATCTGCTTTCCCTTGTTCTGTTCTGAATGTCTCGAGCCATCAGAAGAGCAGGTATCTTTCCAGGCAGGGTGTGTTACCCGTGTGCCAGGCTCCACTGGTCAGGCTTAAATGTACAGCTGAGCAGGGCACCTATGGCTTGTAGCAGAGACTTAACTTCAGTTTACTGCTTAACTGGTTGGGAAAGTGAGGTCATGACAGCAAAATAATGAGTAAAAAAATAATGGGATCTTTAGATGCTTTTGGTTTCTGCCACTTGATGCTGAACAAGTTAAAAATTAACACCAGAAACTGGAGTTAAAGCTATGATGTCATGTGTTTTGAATTTCTTGGCCGTCTGTCAGGGAGACACATCCAAGCATGTGAGTGGTAAACATTTAAGCTTTTCTAGCAATAGTTTTTTTTTCCTTAGAAACTAAAGCATGACTTGGATATTAAAAATGTAGTCTCATCCTTTGAGACTAAAACAAAGAAACAGTTTCCTGCCCGAAGTTTTAACAATTTCAGTGAACTCAAGAGCTCTGTAAATCAAAACCACTGGCAAAGTTCCTCTTTTCAGAAAAGTAGCTGACTTATTGTTTCATTTATCTGTCACAGGAACAAAGGGTACTCCTAGAATTTGTATTGCAAAATGTCTTTTTCCATTTTTCATTAGAGGTTGACCTGGTTCTTTTCGTGTTGAATGAAGCAACATGTAGATTAATGCCTTCCGCTCTTTCATAACCCGCTTCAAATGAGGAAGTTTATTTTAATGAAGTAATTTTGGTTATACTTAGCAACTCTTTGTAAATCTTAGAGCATTCTATCTTTAAATCTAAATAATTTTTATGGTAGATACCTAAAATACAAGGTTGAACTTGGATATTTACTGCCTTATATCTGACTTTGCAATTATAATCTTTTAAAGAGCTTTCTATTTAGTGATTGGTTTTAAGGTTTTGTTGTTGTGGGTTTTTTTTTTTTAATAAAGAAGCTGAGAAAGAATAAGGAAACACTAACTCTCACATAGCTGTTATGTGAGCTGCCTAACTATCTGGGATGGTGGCAAAACTGGCAGCTTGGTGGCAGTCTCAGGTTATACTCTCTAATCTTACCCAGGGTGGTCCAACTATAAAACGTGCATTTCTTGGATACCATGCCTCAGTGTGCTGCCATGGCAGGAGGCAAGTGTTGATGCTGGAATCCAGCCTTGTGTTTATCTTCTGGACTGGTGTGGGGGATGTCTGACAGGAGGTTACATCTTTCTGTTTTGCAGCCTGTTTCCATTATTCTACAACTTAGATCATTCACTGCCTTCTAGCTGTTCTCTGATGCCCATGGAGGGCAGATGCACAGACACAGGCTGTCCCTTGCCCTCCTCTGTGGGCTTCTTCCTTTCACTGGATCTTTTTCTGCACTGTTTTCACCAGCTGTCTAAAAAAAAATTCTTCCTCCTCTCCCAGTCTCTAGCTTCTCATCAGCAGTCTTGAATCTCTCTTAATGGAGGTGCAGAGCAGTCTGGGTCTTTGCCTTGGTAGGAAAGCGATTGCCTCCTCTTTTGGATGTCTGGAAGTAAGCATGGGAGATGCTTCCTTATCTCTGTTCTTGTACTTAGAAACATGGCAATGGACACCAGGGAGAATAAGTGTGGCAAATGCCCAGACCCTCTAGGAATTGGGTTGAGGTATATTTAGAGCACGTGGGTGATACAGGTTTAACTGCCAAGCTCTGGCAAGGCTCAGCAGGCAGTTTCAGGAGTCATTATGCTGAAATACCCAAAGGCACCCTAAAACGAGCCTGAAACAACTTTTCCTAATTCTAGGGATTTTTTTTTTTAAGTAATTGAGTTTTATGGGGTTTTTTGTTCTTGGTTTTGGGGTGTGTTTTTTTTTTTTTCTTTTAAGAACGTGGTGGTAGGAATCTTCTTCTTTCTCAGCCATCTTCTGAGGAACAGTTGAACTCTTCCGAAATAGCTGAAATATTCAAAAAATGCTGCCTCATTATAGACATCTGGGAAAATTTCAGTGTACTAACTTGGCAAAGATACAGCAGAGAGAAAAAAGTCTTAAAAGGGAAGTTATTGGGCAGTTTTTAGATTTTGATGCGTATGCACAGCCGTCTCCGTGTTGGCCTCTCGAAGGACCTGGAGTGTATATCGGTATGGGAGAAGAGCTATTGAACCAGGAATCCAAAGTCTGGTATTTCCCTCAGCCTTCAAGGATTAGATGAGTGCATGCTCTTCGTAGCAAAAGCTATGTCCTTAAATATTTGGTTGGTGCAATCAGGTGGTGTACACCCTCTCTTCCCAGAGTGAGGCCTCTCTGCCCTGCTGATCATCTGGGCTGTTCTTTCACATAAGCAAAATGCAGTTCATGAGGCATGCCTCCCTGAAAAAACAGGAGGGGAAAAAACCCAGAAGCTGGCAAGGAATATACGTGGAAAATGTTAGAAACCAAACATGCTGTCACTTGTGTTTTTCTGTTTCAGTTGCAAAAGGCAAAGCAAGGAGTAAAAACGGAGTCTGCTATGACCAGAGATCAAGCTAGATTGTTAGTCTGCTGTTAGTTAAACCAACAGAGCAATTTAGTACTATTGCCAGTTGTTTTGGACTGCTCTGAAACTAGGCAGTATGGATGGCCTCTTTCGTATGTGCATAGCTTCCTGTGATTACTTTCTCTAACAACGTTTTCTCTTTTAGACCGCGTGCAGGTCGGAATCAGTAGGAATCGTGTTAGATCGGCTGTGTCTCTGTGTAGCAGCTCTTGAGAGCTATTGAATCTCACTTTCTGGGGCAGGTAGCCTGTCATGAATACAGGTGTTTTGCCAGCCTGGATCTGAAGGAATGAAGAATATTGGTGGGCATCTCGATTGTAAAGTGCTGCTGTTGTTAATTTTTATGATTTCTTTTTTTGTCACTTTGTCATTGTTCTGCCATTCTTATTCTTGTGTGCTTTATCTTTTTTCTTTTGATTGGGTAGGTTTTTTTTCTTTTTGTTGTTTTGCCCTGTTTTGCTAGGGAGCTCTGTAAAGCTACCATCTCATGAGCATTTTGTTACTCACATTGCATTCTTGTACTGTACCAGAGTTGGTGACCATGTTCCATCGGTGGAAGAGATGAGTGAAAGCCGCTGGCTGTATTTCAGGTGACACTGTGCTTTCCTTCATACCAGATTAACCTGGTGCTTGGCTTTCTTCATCTTTATAACACAGTGTGCTCTTTTTCTATACTATGGCATGCTGCTGCTTCTCCTTTTTCTGCGGTGTACCATATATGTTCCTCAATTCTGAGTCTGTTTTCTTCTGAGCTGGGAGAGCGTGGATCACACATCATGTCTTTAGCTTAAAAACCCTCACAAAACACCACATCCTTTGTGATTGGGTAATTAATGAAGCAAAACTAGCATCTCTGGCCTGGGAAGACTTGAAAGCTGAGATGTTATGGATGCAATCATATGATCCCTAATCACACAGGTACTCTTAAGCAATTCCTTGGGGTTGTTTTGTACAACCCTTCAGGTTGGAAGGGACTTCATAGGTGATCTAGCCCAGCCTCTTTTGGGATATATTTTAAAAAACTGAGGGTTATCACATTGCTTAGCAGTATGATAATAGTAAGAGTGGGGGTAAACCAGAATCCTAGTGTTCTTCAGTTGATAGTCTGTAGAACTGATACATGGATAGAGAGAGGATAAAATGTAAAATAAATCTATAGAGGAATGTGTATTTGTGTGTGTGTATATATATACACACATAGGCAGAATATTTATTTCAAGAAAACTTGTTGGGATGAGGAAACAGTTTTTCATGTATCCTGTCACACTTGAACTACTATATTTGCCAGAGACGGAGTACACTGGCTTTTACAGAGACTGAGAACTGTCATCTACTGCAGTTATTTTTGGCTGTTGCCACAGTAATTACATGTACTAGAATGTAATAAAGCCTGGTATTTTGGTAACTTGTCATCTGTGTTGCAGGGCCTTGGAAAGGTTTTTGAAGCATCAGAAATTATTCCACCCGTTTTAAAATGACATAGTGGAGAACTTGAAGGAGTTTTCTCCTTTTTTTTTTTTTTTTTTTACCCTTCCTTCCCATAGTAGCTGCAGAATAAGGAGCAGAAAGGCAGTGCTTTGATATTGGGCGTTAGGAGCTCAATGGTAGTCCCTTTGCTATTACAGAGCTCTTAAAGCGTGAAAAGCCTTTTATGCCTTAAAACCCAAAAATATCTTAATTAGGGAGGCGTGAAAAAATATGCTGTAATTGGATTAGTTTTTGCTGTAGCGCACTCTTGTCTACAGTTTCCAGTAAACTTCTGGAGGCACAAATAAGATGGATGAACTTCATGTACTAGTAACTGGTTGTACTGAAGTATTAAGGTATCTATCCAATACCAAATTGATGCCAGTGGGGGAAACAGATGGATTTTTCACCTGTTTGGGGACGTATATGCGTTGTTACAGCTGAAAGACTGCTCGTAGTCTTCATCTGACATCTGCTTTTTAAGAGTTAACTTATTTAAACTGCTCATGTACACCCTCAGGTAATCCACACACAAAACTGCTGCAATAGGCTTTCAGAAAGGGTCTAGGGAAAAACAAAGGTGCTTGCTGGCATCTGCACTGCCTTAGCCTTGATTGTCAGCTGCCCCTCAATCCGTAGGCTGTGCTTCTTCAACAAAACACAGTTTTCAGCTAGAGCCTGCTCACCTGCCTTTCTGCTAGGGGGTTTGAGCAAAACACCAGTCTCAGGAGCAAGGCTACCCTCTCTGTGCCCCTGACCTCTGAGAGGGGATGTGCGTAAATGAGTCCAGTAACAATCTTTCTTAATTTAAAAACTGGTTAAATAAATGAGAACTGATACTGACCTTTAGATCACAATTTAAATTTTGGGAAGCTTTGTAAATGCACTTAAGGATGTGAGATGGTTTTTCTTCTTATAACCACCAGAAAAAAAATTACGTTGAAGACACACATGCATCAGCTTTACTTGTACTTTTAACTATGGAATTAGTTAAGTAAGGATGAAGTAACTAAATGTTTTCTGGGCTTCACTGTAAAAGAGGTTGGGAGACACTTGACTGGGTTATGGTATTGTTTTGTTTCAGGTGATAAAGATGAGACTTCCTTAGAAATTTGGGAGCACGACCTGCAAAAATGCGTTGCTTGTGATGAGACTAGGGTGTATATGCCTTGAAACTTAAACAGGAAGGCTTGCTACAAAAAAAGTAAAGCTTCCTATGCCATTCATGCTAGAGTAGAGGTTAAGAGACACAGTATGCTGCTGGTTGAAAGATACAAAAAGTAGTTGTGGGAATTCAAAATAGTAATGTATTTTGTATTAATCTGTGAACTGAAGAACAGCTTGAAACATGAACTTAAGTGTGATTTATAGAAAAGAATTAATTAGAAATGCTCAAAATAGAAATTCGCCTGAAGAATAACTTTGGAAAAAAGTTAAAATGGACAAATTTACTTCAATTTACTATTTCAATGTTGAAAGAAATGTCTGTAGTAAGAATTTATTGCTAAAAGTTGAACCATTTTAATACAGAAGAGCTCTCTTGTCTTCCTCTTCAGCACAAGAATGAACCCAAACACCTGACCTGTGATGTACTATGCTTTTTCACTGAACAGAATGGTCATCCTGCACTGGTGGTCCACTAAGCCCCCTTCCCCTGCCTAAGGGCAGTTAAAATCCCCAAAACAAAGGCACAACCTTGTAAATCAAGTAAAGGTTGAGACATTCTGAATTGTTTGTTTTATGTACTGTGAAGTGAACGGACAGCCCAATGAGTTAAAACTATTTAGGGAATGCAAGCTATGTTCATCTTCTGGAATGAGCTTCTTTAGCTCCCCTACTGCCAGATGCACGGCTAACCCCAGCATGGTTGCTGTGCATAGTGAGTTGAATCTCCCCAGAGTGCAAGAGGACTTGGAAAGACACAGATTTTGGTTTTTAATGTGTATTTATAAAGGAGTTTGCAATCATATATGTCAGTGTACTGAGTAGTTTCCTGATGTTGCTTGTCAGCTTCACTAGGGAACTAGTATGTCTACAGAAAACCTTTCTTACCTCATCTTTACTGCTTAGCGATAGCCTAAGCAGTAACGTCTATGCCTTTGTAACCTCTCAGAGCTCTTGCATCTGGCATTTTACTTTAGCGTGTGTTTCAACCCAGCACTCAGTCTCTGTCCAGTGTTCCCTTAAACTGGTGAAGATTTCTAGTCTTGAGGCTGGTCAGTGACAATGAATTCCCAGGCCAAATGTGTCTAAGGGTTAAGATGACTCTGCGTGTGGAAAAAAGAAATGATGAGGAAAGAAAAGCAACTCAGGAAAAAAATCCCAGCAGAGGACTGGGTCAGCACTAGCTCTGGATGAGGCCTCTCCAGGCTGTCTTAGAGTGACCTTCTGGATTTTCCCTGAACTACATTAAGTTATGTGGGTCCACAAAGATGACTTGAAACTTCAGTTCGATGTCTAATTTTCTTCTGTTGTTCTATTCAGAAGTACTGCCCTGGAGGTTATTTGAAGGTGTTCCCTTTTTAGTTTAATCCATGCCATCTTCTGTGCCTGAAAGTAAATCAGGTCTGGGTCACTGCAAGCAGTGTCCCTGGGACACACAAATGATATGGTCTTACCAGCAAGGTTCTGTTGGTTTCTGGTCATCCTCAGGGGTGTTGCATAAATGCTGTGGCTAGAAATAGCTGATACACAGGCTAGATAACAAAGGAATTGCACTAAACCAGCTCAGTCCCTTCCAGCAGAGGGGAAATGCAGAAGTTAGCTATTTCAGACAAGGTTTTTGGTATCACATGCATTTTTCTACACTTGTTATTTTGTATTTCAGTCCAACCATGTTACATGTTTGAGACTGACAATCTTGCCTGACATTTGAGGTTGGAGGTCTAGGTTCTACAACAGAGCACACAGATTAAGGCATGAATAGGATTTAAAACTAGACAAGTCTAATCTTAACAAATAGCTACACCCCAAACAGACCAGAAAAACCTGAACATGATTACAAGGATTAAATACCCATCTCATGTAGAAGCACTAAGATGCTCATTAGCTATGCAAAGGCAAGTAGACGGTTTCTTATTAACGTATTATTCTGTAATCATCCACTATCTCATTATACAGACCCTCCCTCACTCTGGTGGGAGGCTGGACTAGACAGACCTCTTGTTCACAGATTCACAGGGTGGTAGGGGTGGGAAGGGACCTGTAGAGATCATCTAGTCCAACCCCCTGCCAGAGCAGGATCACCTAGAGTAGATCACACAGGAACAAGTCCAGGCGGCTTTTGAAAGTCTCCAGGGAAGGAGGCTCCACCACCTCTCTGGGCAGCCTTGTTAATCCACTGTGTTGTGTTAGGTGAATGAAACTTGCAGAAAATTAATATTGTGAGTCTTTATAAAAAAGTATTTGCTGCTTCACACAGTGCATTAAAACTTTGGGGGTGTGTGGCTTTTTTAGTTGTGTATTTGAGCCATTCTCAGGCCCATCTGGCAGCTAAATTGTTTGCTGTGTCAAATACTTAGGATGGGCTTATCTTTAGTCTCTGGTTTCTTGCTGCTGGGCATGATGCATGTTCTCCACTGAAGAGGGCATCACTCACAGTTTATCTTTTAAGCCAGAAATATAATTTACCAGGGTCCTAAAAGAATTGGAAACCAAGGTAAGCAGTTAAAGTCGATGCTGAGATGGACTCAAGCCGTTATCTAGAGGTAGTTGCTGCTTGAGGGAGAAAGTATCTTGTTTATAGCTATATGACTGCAGGGGAATAATGAACAGCTCTTCCTCAAACTATTCTTATAACCTCTCTGAATGTGGCTTTGCTGGGTGCTTAAAGTGCTTTTAAAATGCCTTCTGCCCAACTCACAGCATTTGCAACCCTCTGTAACACCACTTGCTTTGTTTTCCTAATGTTTCTGTAGGGTTGGGGTGGACCCAGATCAGGATCCTCCACCTACTAATGACAGCTTTCAAGTCTTACAAGGAGTAAGTAATTACATAACTTCTCTATTAGGCTGATCTTATTTTGTAACCAAGATGATCAAGAACTACAGAAGCTACGTGCATGGATAAAATCTTTTCTCTCTTAGCTCGCAAATCAGTAATGCATTTTACTTTGTAATATTCC